GTTTAAAAACAGGCTCGTAATATAATCTATTTAGTTTCTAAACTGTTTTTCCTTCTGAAACCTCATGAGAGTTGCAGAATTTATGACGCCCTTATTTGTATTTAGTATTTTTTCCTGTTTTTTCTTTTTCTGTCCCTTTAGTGTTTTGACTTTCTTTGGTTCTTCTCATCCAACATAAGCCAAGTTATAGAAAAGTTCTCTTTTCTGTACTTAAAAGTTATTTAACAAGCATATACCATACAAGTAAAGTCTCTCCCTTACTATGATGAAAATGTTTAAGATTTTTCAATAGACACATGCACAAGCTCTAATGAAATCGCTGTCGAAATTAGGAAAAAAGCCAGTGGATTCAATATTTTATAAACCAATCCAGTTTCAAAAGATACATTAATTGCAATTTTCTAAAGCAGGAGTTTTCAACCTCCAGGCCAAGCCTGTTAGTAACTGGGCCACAAAGCGGGCAGTGAGCAATGAGCCAGCAAGCATTACTGCCTGAGCTCCGCCTCCTGTCACTTCAGTGGCAGCATTAGATTCTCCCAGAAGCGTGAACCCTATTGTGAACTGCACATGCGAGGGATCTAAGTTGCCAACTCTATGAGAATCTAATGCCTGATGATCTGAGGTGCAACAGTTTCATCTTGAAACCACCTCCACCCCATTAGTCCATGGAAAAACTATCTTCCATGAAACCAGTCCCTGGTGCCAAAAAAGTTGGGGACTGCTACTCTGAAGAAACCTAATTATTAAATATGTGTTGAAATTTCAGTATTTGTAACTAAATATACTCAAGTATACACCTGGAAACATTCTTAAGTTATATTTATATAAAACCAGGTGAGTGACCTATGTGTTGGTATTTCACAAATAAGGTGGCTGTCTTTCACAAAAAGAAAATGATTTAAGCTAATATTAAGTAACTTTAAGTAACGTCTATTTATTAGGTAGTGGTCATATTTTACCTTATATCCTAAATCCATAGGTCCCAACAAACTGTACTATTTCCAAGTATCCTGCCTCATTTCCTTTTTTCCCTGTATTTCTCAATTACATTCTGTACTATAGAAATGAAAAGGTATGCCTTGTGAAAAGTGAGAAGGATTGTTAGTGATTTCTCCCTTTCTAGTTGTTTAAGAGATAGGAAAGGAAGATATCCAAAGAATTTTGACTCACTGTGCTCCCTAAAGAGCTTTCGATAGAAGGAGCTAAGTGCATTCTGGCCATAAGGGGTGTAAGAATCCTGCTTTCCTAGGAAAGGCACTTCATTTTCTGTTAGAACAGTGGCAGGTGTTGCTGCTGTGTCACCTGAGGCAGCCTCTCCAAATGACCACAATCTTTGATTTACAGATTTATCTTATTTGAAAAACAGGCCTCCATGAGAAGATCCTTTTTCTCCACTGTTTCATGTAATTGGTATGTTTTATAGGATTTTTTTTTCAAAAAAAAAGAAAAATAACCACCTTGACTTAGAATATTTGGAAGCAATTATTCATCTTCCCAAGTGTGTTTCTGGCCCACTTGTCCGGAAGAAAGCATGACAGCTTAGTGCATACACATAGTGATTCTTATGCATACTATGGTAACCACATTTTCTAAACTAAAAATGTTTGTTTTATAATTTTCATTGGAAAATCTTGAAACAATCTTTAGAATATTTTTCAAGTCACATTTAATTTTTTAATGCCTTGTACTTAGTAATGTAACAGTCATGCGAAAATGTGAAAAGAAATAGCATGAGGAGAAGAAAATTCTATTATTAGAGGTATTCTGGAAACGTGGAGGTGGATGTTCACCCTGCCTGGTTCTCTAGATGTTGCCTATCACATCCCCCTTTTAAAATGAACATAATTCACCAGTCCTAAGACAGATCTCAAAGCAGATTGGGAGTTCGGTAAGAATTTGTTTTATTGATTTAAATGAAATAAACAATTGAATATTTAGAATGATCTTTGCCTCGTCATTTCATTAAGTGATGAACTTACAGTGTGTGATTTCAAATTTGTGATGTGAATTATTTTAGTTTCTCAACTATCTATAGTTTTGGAGAGTGAGAGAATGTGTGCATTTGAATGTCAAAATCCCTTCCTTCCTACTGGGAATTTGGTCTTTTAATAACTTGAATGTATCCCAAGATTCAGGTATATATTGACTGTGTTGCACTGTACTAATCATCATTAGCACAGTCCTTAGACCCAAGGAGCTTAATAAAATTATTTGTATATGTTATTTGTTATTGAAGTTAATTCTTTTCATATTTAAGAAATTATTATTTTCAACCTGAGAAAGCTGATTGACAAAAAAAGAAATGATTATTAAAAGATGATCATTCTTGGGAAGGTTGGAGAGGGTAACATGGGGAGAAATGCCAAATATAGGTGACGGGGGGATGGAAGCAGCAAACTACCTTGCCATATACGTACCTATGCAACAATCCTGCATGGTCTGCACATGTACCAGAGAACCTAAAGTAAAAAAAAAAAGTAATCAAATTTTTTAAAAAGATGATTATTCTTAATATCTATCATCTACTTTCTCTGCTAAGATAGGAAATAAATGGTAGACAGGTAAATAAATTGTAAAATATAGTGTTAGAGCCCTTCTACAAAGAAACTGTGGTAATTCCTTTTTAAATCAACTTCCAAATCTGCTTTGTAAATTCAGAAATGTGTAAATTTAATCTTTTTAAAGCAGTGAATAATACTTTGCAACTTATGCACAGTAAAAAGCAGAATAGAAATAACAGAAGTTAATATGAACTTAAAGATGCTCCTTATTTCATTCTTATGGTTCAGTGAAGTGTATTTTAAGGCTATTTACAATGAAGTAAACATACTTCAATGAAGTATATTCTACAAACCAGTTTTCAAATGACTGATATGATTTTTGCTTTCTGGAGTTCACTCAAGAACAAAAAGGTTGGCAGTGGTATGGATAGAAATACAGTGGATTTGCATATCCCATTAAATGGTTGTTAAATGCCTTCACTAGTTGAGAATTAATTGTATATTAACAGTTTTTTTGAGGGGGTGGGGATGGAATGTCGCTCTGTTAACCAGGCTGGGGTGCAGTGGCTCGATATAAGCTCCCTGCAACTTCTGCCTGCCGGGTTCAAGCAATTCTCCTGCCTCAGCCTCCTGAGCATCTGGGACTGCAGGCATGCACCACCATGCCTGGCTAATTTTTGTATTTTTAGTAGAGATGGGGTTTCACCATATTGGTCAGGCTGGTCTTGAACTGACCTCAGGTGATTCACCCTCCTCAGCCTCCGAAAGTGCTGGGATTACAGGTGTGAGCCACCCTTCCTGGCCATATTAACAGTTTTTTAAGAGAATTAGAAAACTGTGTTTCCTCAACTCTAAGATGTCATCAGTTGTAAATCATGTTTTATACTACTAAGAAAAATAAGCCTCTAATTAAGCAACATGCCATCAATTGTAAGATATATACTTATAGGGGAAAAAAGGTAGTGTTTAGCTGGGATACTTCCCTACCCTCTGAAAAACAAGTCAGGGTTTTATTAGTAAAGGAAAATGGGAGAATGGATATTTGGTGGCAATTATCATCGTCGTTTCATTTCCGTATCATTATAAGCCTCTTAAAATGTCCATCTTAAGTACATTATGGTAAATCTTTTTAAAATAGTGGCATTGAGATCTCAAGAAACTCTCTTCTCATTATACTCTTCATACAATTGAAATTTATTTAATTGTTGCTGCCTCCTTTCTATAGCTTTTTCTTTGGGTATTGTTTTTATCGTTTCAATCAGTTTAACAATTTGATGCAATCAGATAATTCTTTCCTAAAGTTTGACTTAGAGGTAAGCATTTTACCCAAAAAGCAACACGGTAGTCTTTACATTAGAATTTATCTTTTCAATTCCAGAGGGACCAAGGTATTTGTTGGTAGAACTGAAGAGATATAATAACCAGAACAAAATGTTCTGGCATCTTGAAAAACAATTTTCATGGAATTTATTCCAGCTTTTTTTCCAAAGGTGTAATGGCCTCTTTCCTTAAGATAGTTTTGACACTTCTCTATCAAGTTTTCAGAAATGTAATGAGTTCTTGCTTCTTCTGTTGTATGTGTGTTAGTGAGAGGGAATTGTTTGGTATCTTCTTAGATAATATCATTGGAATAGTTTTCAAACTGTGACTAAAATGTCTTTGGCATTTTCCATTTTATGCCCTCCCTGTCTTCTGTATCTGTAAGGAATGGACCTGACATTAAGACTTTTCCATAGAGCACATGAGTAAGGATTATATAACAAACTATATGAAACCCTTGATAGCCCTGAACAAGCATCTAAAGAGCACCTAAAGAATCATTCTCCTCTGTCTTTAACAAGTCATGGTAAAAACTATGGGTAGGTAAGTTTAGGACTGTATTTAAATGTTTATAAATATGATTAAGATTGTCACACTTTGAACAGGCTCACAAAATAATCTTCAACTTGTTAGTACTTTGATTTTTTTTGAAAACAGAAATTCTAAAAATTACTTACGGGATGTCTGGTGTTTGGGGGATGATGTCAGAAGTGAATCTGTTCTGTTGGCCTCAACCCCACATCAGACTCATCGGAGTCTGCATCTCTTCTCCTTTTTCTGTACATCTATTTTGTTTCTTCCTAAGTGCCCAGTAATGTAAGGAAGCAACTTCTAGCTCCCCTATAGAGCTACAAAGCTGTAAAGGAGACTTAACATTCACATTACTTTGCAGAAAGGTGCTTTTGAAAATTCAGAGACTTGGCAGGCTTTGGAAGACGTTTATATAACATTAAAGTATGCTCTCTTTTCTAAATGATTTGATCATTTTAACAGTATGGATTAACCCACAGGATTTCTAGTAGAAATTTTCATTTGAATAGAATGGCAATAAAACAAATTACCAAAGTGATTATAATGATATATATACACTTACAAATGCTATATTATTTTGCTTGTAGGTATCATAACATGATTCTAGTTCTTCACCTCCTTAACTATTCTTATTTTTATTTTTTTTAGAATACTGATATTTGCATTTAATGGGGAATAAAAGATGAAGAAGGAAAAAGAATATATTCACTAAGGATTATATCTGCTTACTGCTACAGACCTATGTTTTAAGGAATTCTCCTCCTTCTTGCTTAGAAGTTCATCAGCTCTTTGGTCAGACTGCATTTATCTTGTCATTGCCAGAAGAAATCCTCATCAGAATGTAAGAGTATGTCTGTCTCTCAGTGCTATGGAAGGTGATAAACTGATACTCAGTTATTAAAGTTACATCTCACCGCAGAAAACCATTCTTCAAAGTGAATAGAAACCAAGCCCTTGTGAACACTTCTATTGAACATGACTCATGGAGAAGAGCTTGGCTCTGATGTGCACCAGGATTCTATTGTTTTAACTTACCTAGAAGGATTACTAATGCATCAGGCAGCAGGGGGATCAGGTCCTGCCGTCGACAAAAAGTCTGCTGGGCATAATGAAGAGGATCAGAACTTTAACATTTCTGGCAGTGCATTTCCCACCTGTCAAAGTAATTGTCCAGTTCTCAATACACATACATATCAGGGATCTGGCATGCTGCATCTCAAAAAAGCCAGACTGTTGCAGTCTTCGGAGGACTGGAATGCAGCAAAGCGGAAGAGGCTGTCTGATTCTATCGTAAATTTAAACGTAAAGAAGGAAGCTTTGCTGGCTGGCATGGTTGACAATGTGCCTAAAGGCAAACAGGATAGCACATTACTGGCCTCTTTGCTTCAGTCATTCAGCTCTAGGCTGCAGACTGTTGCTCTGTCACAACAAATTAGGCAGAGCCTCAAGGAGCAAGGATATGCCCTCAGTCATGATTCTTTAAAAGTGGAGAAGGATTTAAGGTGCTATGGTGTTGCATCAAGTCACTTAAAAACTTTGTTGAAGAAAAGTAAAGTTAAAGATCAAAAGCCTGACACGAATCTTCCTGATGTGACTACAAACCTCATCAGAGATAGGTTTGCAGAGTCTCCTCATCATGTTGGACAAAGTGGAACAAAGGTCATGAGTGAACCACTGTCATGTGCCGCAAGATTACAGGCTGTTGCAAGCATGGTGGAAAAAAGGGCTAGTCCCGCCACCTCACCTAAACCTAGTGTGGCTTGCAGCCAACTGGCATTACTTCTTTCAAGTGAAGCCCATTTGCAGCAGTATTCTCGAGAACATGCTTTAAAAACACAAAATGCAAATCAAGCAGCAAGTGAAAGACTTGCTGCTATGGCCAGATTGCAAGAAAATGGCCAGAAGGATGGTGGCAGTTTCCAGCTCTCAAAAGGAATGTCAAGCCATCTTAATGGTCAGGCAAGAACATCATCAAGCAAACTGATGGCTAGCAAAAGTAATGCTGCAACATTTCAGAATCCAATGGGTATCATTCCTTCTTCCCCTAAAAATGCAGGTTATAAGAACTCACTAGAAAGAAACAGTGTAAAGCAAGCTCCTAACAATAGTTTGCTTTTACATCTTCTTAAAAGCCAGACTATACCTAAGCCAATGAATGGACACAGTCACAGTGAGAGAGGAAGCATTTTTGAGGAAAGTAGTACGCCTACAACTATTGATGAATATTCCGATAACAATCCTAGTTTTACAGATGACAGCAGTGGGGATGAAAGTTCTTATTCCAACTGTGTTCCCATAGACTTGTCTTGCAAACACCGAGTTGAAAAATCAGAATCTGACCAACCTGTTTCTTTGGATAACTTTACTCAGTCCTTGCTGAACACTTGGGATCCAAAAGTCCCAGATGTAGATATCAAAGAAGATCAAGATACCTCAAGGAATTCTAAGCTAAACTCACATCAGAAGGTAACACTTCTTCAATTGCTACTTGGCCATAAGAATGAAGAAAATGTAGAAAAAAGCGCCAGCCCTCAGGGAGTACACAATGATGTGACCAAGTTCAATACACAAAATTATTCAAGGACTTCTGTGATAGAAAGCCCCAGTACAAATCGGACTACTCCAGTGAGCACTCCACCATTACTTACATCAACCAAAGCAGAGTCTCCTATCAATCTCTCTCAACACTCTCTGGTTATCAAATGGAATTCCCCACCATATGCCTGCAGTGCTCAGTCTGAAAAGCTAACAAATACTGCATCTAACCACTCAGTGGACTTTACAAAAAGCAAAGAGCCGCCAGGAGAGAAGCCAGCCCACAGTGAAGGTGCACAAAACTCTGCAACTTTTAGTGCCAGTAAGCTGTTACAGAATTTAGCACAATGTGGAATGCAGTCTTCCGTGTCAGTGGAAGAGCAGAGATCTAGCAAACAGCTGTTAACTGTAAACACAGACAAACCGATGGGTATGATTGATAGATTAAATAGCCCTTTGCTCTCAAGTAAAACAAATGTGGTTGAAGAAAATAAAGCATTTACTAGTCAACCAACAGTTCCAGAACCAGGACTTTCTGGTTCTGAAATAGAAAATCTGCTTGAAAGACGTACTGTCCTCCAGTTGCTCCTGGGAAACCCCAACAAAGGTAAGAGTGAAAAGAAAGAGAAAACTCCCTTAAGAGATGAAAATACTCAGGAACACTCAGAGAGAGCTTTAAGTGAACAAATATTGATGGTGAAAATAAAGTCTGAGCCTTGTGATGACTTACAAATTCCTCATACAAATGTGCACTTGAGCCATGATACTAAGAGTGTGCCATTCTTGGGTATGGCTCCTGCTTTGCAAAGAAGCGCACCTGCCTTACCAGTGTCCGAGGACTTTAAATCGGAGCCTGTTTCACCTCAGGATTTTTCTTTCTCAAAGAATGGTCTGTTAAGTCGATTGCTAAGACAAAATCAAGATAGTTACCTGGCCGATGATTCAGACAAGAGTCACAGAAATAATGAAATGGCACTTCTAGAATCAAGGAATCTTTGCATGGTCCCTAAGAAAAGGAAGCTTTATACTGAGCCATTAGAAAACCCATTTAAAAAGATGAAAAACAACACTGTTGATGCTGCAAACAATCACAGTGCCCCAGAAGTACTGTATGGGTCCTTGCTTAACCAGGAAGAGCTGAAATTGAGCAGAAATGATCTTGAATTTAAATATCCTGCTGGTCACAGCTCAGCCAGCGAAAGTGAACAAAGGAGTTGGGCCAGAGAGAGCAAAAGCTTCAATGTTCTGAAACAGCTGCTTCTCTCAGAAAACTGTGTGCGAGATCTGTCCCCGCACAGAAGTAACTCTGTCACCGACAGTAAAAAGAAAGGACACAAAAATAATGTGACCAACAGCAAACCTGAATTTAGCATTTCTTCTTTAAATGGACTGATGTACGGTTCCACTCGGCCCAACAGTTGCATGGATAACAGGACATTTTCATACCCAGGAGTAGTAAGAACTCCTGTGAGTCCTACTTTCCCTGAGCACTTGGGCTGTGCAGGGTCTAGACCAGAATCTGGGCTTTTGAATGGATGTTCCATGCCCAGTGAGAAAGGACCCATTAAGTGGGTTATCACTGATGTGGAGAAGAATGAGTATGAAAAAGATTCTCCAAGACTGACCAAAACCAACCCAATACTATATTACATGCTCCAGAAAGGAGGCAATTCTGTTACCAGTCGAGAAACACAAGACAAGGACATTTGGAGGGAGCCTTCATCTGCTGAAAGTGTCTCACAGGTCACAATCAAAGAAGAGTTACTTCCTACTGCAGAAACGAAAGCTTCTTTCTTTAATTTAAGAAGCCCTTACAATAGCCATATGGGAAATAATGCTTCTCGCCCACACAGCGCGAATGGAGAAGTTTATGGACTTCTGGGAAACGTGCTAACAATAAAAAAAGAATCAGAATAAAATGTACCTGCCATCCAGTTTTGGATCTTTTTAAACTAATGAGTATGAACTTGAGATCTGTATAAATAAGAGCATGATTTGAGAAAAGCATGGTATAATTGAAACTTTTTCATTTTGAAAAGTATTGGTTACTGGTGATGTTTAAATATGCATACTAACTTTTGCTTAACATTAGATGTCATGAGGAAACTACTGAACTAGCAATTGGTTGTTTAACACTTCTGTATGCATCAGGTAACAACTGTGAGTAGCCTATGAATGAAATTCTTTTATAAACATAAATAATAGGCATAAATTAAAATGTAAAATTCCATTCATAGTGGATTAATGCATTTTGCTGCCTTTATTAGGGTACTTTATTTTGCTTTTCAGAAGTCAGCCTACATAACACATTTTTTTAAAGTCCAAACTGTTAAACAAGTCTTTAAAGGATAATTATCCAATAAAAAAAAAAAAACTAGTGCTGATTCACAGCTTATTATCCAATTCAAAAGTAAATTAGAAAAATATATGATTACATTTTTCACTTTTGCTAAAAAAAAAAAAAAAAGTGTTTATTTTTATCTCTTGGAAGAGCTTTTCTGGTTCCCAATGTCTCTGTCCCACCCTGGTCCTTTTCAATATATATTTCTTTAAACCTTGTACTACTTAATAAAAATTGATTACAATTGAGGGAAGTTTGATAGATCCTTTAAAAAAGGCAGATTTCCATTTTTTGTATTCTAACTACTTTACTAAAACTCCTCCTTTTACAGAATTAGAAAAGTTAACATTTATCTCTAGGTGGTTTCCTGAATAGTTCAATATTTAAGAAATTGTTTTTAACAGAAGCAAAAATGGCTTTTCTTTGGACAGTTTTCACCATCTCTTGTAAAAGTTAATTCTCACCATTCCAGTGGTACCTGCAAGTCTTATGACCAGGATTCCTTAAAGCTGAACTCAGACCACTTGCATTAGAACCATCTGGAGCACTTGTTTTAAAATGCAGATTCATAGGCAGCATCTCAGATCTACAGAACAAGAATCTCTGCTAAGTGGACCTGGAATCTTCCATCTGCATCTTAACATGCTCCCTAGGTGTGTCTTCTGCACCTTGATGTTTGAGAGCCTTGGCTGATAACTTTCCTCAGAACATGAGACTGTAAAACAAAAACAAAAAAACTATCTGATGCCTCTATTTTCCCCAATACAGTGACACATCAGCTCAAAATCTGCAATATTGTAGTTCATATATTACCGTTATGTCTTTGGAAATCGGATTCAGAACACTTTTTATGACAAAAAAAAAATGGGTGGAGGGGACAACTTTCATATCTGGCTCAACATCTCAGGAAAATCTGTGATTATTTATGTGTTCTAATGAGTAACATCTACTTAGCCTTAGGGATGGAAAAACAGGGCCACTTACCAAACTCAGGTGATTCCAGGATGGTTTGGAAACTTCTCCTGAATACATCCTTAACCTTTATTAAAACCATTGTCCTAAGAACAATGCTTACAAAGGTTACAACATTTAGTTCAAACCCAACAAAGGCACTAAACTCAGAATGACTAAACAAAAAGTACAAAGGGCACATATTCATGACAGAATTGTACACAATCACTCCATTGGACGTATTATTTTAAAATAGTGATGAAAAATAAATGTTGATACTGTCTTAGAAGAACTTAATGTATTATTGAAGCCACATGGGCTTTAAAGTTTGAAACAAGTCTCTTTTTATGTTCAGTTTGTACAATTCACAATTCATTCACCAGATATTTTATTTTTAATTGTGAACCAGGTTAGCAAATGACCTCTCAAAAATTATTCTATAATCACTATTAGTTAGAAGGAAATTGATTTAAAATTGTTCTACTTGAAGTGGTTTCTAAGATTTTTATATTAAAATTGGGTGTGATTTCCTATTATGATCTAAAACCCTAAATGGTTATTTTTCCTCAGAATGATTTGTAAATAGCTACTGGAAATATACAGTAATAAGAGTGAGTATTATGCAACATCATGGAGAAGTGAAGGAGGCATAGGCTTATTCTGACATAAAATTTCACTGGCCAGTTGAATACATTCTACTCCATGTCCATAGTGTGACAATCTTACTGTCAAACACTATATAAATAAGCTTTTAAGCAAGTCATTTTTCTTGATCATTGTGAAAAGGCTGGAGCCTTAGAGGTATGTCAGAAAAATATGTTGGTATTCTCCCTTGGGTAGGGGAAACTGGCCTTTTTACAAGAGAGTGAAATTTAGGTCAGAGAAAAGACCATTAAGGGCCAGCATTGCTATTTTTTCTTGTTGTGAATTTTGTTTTGTTTTTTTTTGGTTGGTTGGTTGGTTGTTTTCATTGTTGTTAACAATTAAAGGAATGAGAATATGTAATACTTAAGTAAATATGACCACAAAGAATGCTGTTCTGATTTACTAGAGAATGTCCCCAATGTGAATTTAGGGTGATTTAAAGAACAGTGAGAAAGGGCATACATCCACAGATTCACTTTGTTTATGCATATGTAGATAAAAGGATGCACATATACACATTTTCAAGGACTATTTTAGATATCTAGACAATTTCTTCTAATAAAGTCGTTTGTGAAAGGGTACTACAGCTCTCATTGACATCAGTAAGGTAGCATTCATTACCTGTTTATTCTCTGCTGCATCTTACAGAAGAGTAAACTGGTGAGAGTATATATTTTATATATATATATATATATATATATATATAATATGTATATATATATATTGACTTGTTACATGAAGATGTTAAAATCAGTTTTTAAAGGTGATGTAAATAGTGATTTCCTTAATGAAAAATACATATTTTGTATTGTTCTAATGCAACAGAAAAGCCTTTTAATCTCTTTGGTTCCTGTATATTCCATGTATAAGTGTAAATATAATCAGACAGGTTTAAAAGTTGTGCATGTATGTATACAGTTGCAAGTCTGGACAAATGTATAGAATAAACCTTTTATTTAAGTTGTGATTACCTGCTGCATGAAAAGTGCATGGGGGACCCTGTGCATCTGTGCATTTGGCAAAATGTCTTAACAAATCAGATCAGATGTTCATCCCTACATGACAGTATTCCATTTCTGGACATGACGTCTGTGGTTTAAGCTTTGTGAAAGAATGTGCTTTGAATCCAAGGGTCTTAAACAATTTTTTTAAATCAAGTCAACCACTTTTAAACATAAAGAATTCACGCAACACTTTCATGAATTTTTTAATCCCATTACAAACATTATTCCAAGAGTATCCTGGTATTAGCAATACTGGAATACAGGCACATTACCATTCATAGTAAGAATTCTGGTGTTTACACAGCCAAGTTTGATGCGATCTGCTCAATAATATAATGTCATTTTTATTAGAAATTTAATTCTTCATGTGATGTCATGAAACTGTACATACTGCAGTGTGAATTTTTTTGTTTTGTTTTTTAATCTTTTAGTGTTTACTTCCTGCAGTGAATTTGAATAAACGAGGAAAAAAATGCATTGTCTCTGGTTTGAAATGACTGTTATTTTGTGGGCTTTGTCTGGTTTTTGAATTGCTATGAATACAACGGTGATGTTCAGAGATGTTTTGCCCTTCTCAGAAAAATAAAGGGGACAAAAAAGAAGGTGGCTAGCAAGTTAGTGCACTAAAAAACGTAATTAGGGAATAACTCAAAATGACAATCAGCCTTTAGCCTCTCTCCCATGTTTCAGTGTGTAACTAGTTAATTACTGTGAATTTTTAAACTAGAATATAATTTGTGCGATATTCAAATTTAATATTGACTATATGTATATATTTCTAATACACACTTCGTTTTAAGATTTTATCATAAGGCTTTTATCTAGTTTTTGATGGGTGTTGTATTTAAAATAAAAGAAAAAAGGAGTTTAATGCTTTTCCAAAAACGAACATGTATGTACATGCGTGTACATATTTAAATACATGCTATATATGTATAGGTAATGAGTACTTGTATTTAAATATATACTATATATGTATAGGTAATGAGTAATTGGTAAGCAGCCTACATACGTAATAAGTATTGTACCAGTGGAGTCCAAGAAAAAAATTCCCTTGTATCCTTGTAAATTTATGGCTTAGGAATTTTTATTTTCACAAATAATGGTAATTTATGAGAAAGACATTTTCCCAAAGAGGAGCTCTGTTTCCTGGGACCCAGATAGGTCTATTGTAATCCATGCAGCTTCTCTATTAATAAGTTTATAAATATCTAAAAATGTTCAAGTAGTAGGAATACTTCCTGCTGTTCTACATTATTAAAATGCTGAAAAGTTGCATCTTGCTGTTTGTATAGATGCTGACATCAGAATGAGACATGCACAACCATGTCTGCTTTATTTATTTATATGATGAAAAAGCATGACAAGTGCATCAAGTAGTGAATTGTCCAGGAGAGATTTTTATGAAGAGAAGCACCAGTTAGCTCTTCTTGATTATAAAATAGTGTCTGCGACTTTAATATGGATTCTCTAAAAATGAATTCCAATTAAAATCCCTCATACCATTTAAGGTTCTGTTTTAAGCTTGCTAGTGTGGAAAATCAGCAACAAAAGTGATTTTGAAATTTATTTTCCTACCACTAGTATCACTAAACTATGACCTGTTTGACTATAGGAAATAATTGATCATTATTAAGCATACTGGTAATGTTTTTGTTTATTCCATAAAGCTTGTATCTAATACTACCTCACCTTATAAGGGTTGGTAGAGGAAGCTATTGGCATCATTTAGCATTCATTTAATGCTCCCAAAGCCCTATAAGTGATTGGTACAACAATATTTACAACATTTTTCGGATTCTGTCTTCATAAATAAGTTGAAAACTCCCACTCTAAAAAACAAAATTTACGTACTTGAGTTGGAAGCAGAATAATAGGATATAAAGTGCCGTGAATTCCAGTTCTGTGGAGGTGCTACTGCACTTTTGGTGTCTTCTTATAAGTGTCTAAAAGTATATAAACCTTTCAATCAATAAACCAAATTTTGAAATAGTACACCTTTGCAGTCAGAAGAGAATTTTGAGACACTCAAAATCTTTTTGAGACACTCAAAAAGATTTTTGAGAGTCTCAAAATTCTTACAGCCTTCGTCTTGACACAGAGTCCCAGACAACCTTCTGTTCTCCCTCTGCTGCCTTTACCAAACTTAATTGGTATGTGTTCCAAACCTCAAGAAAAGCTGCAGTCCTTTGGAATATTCATTTTCCTCACTTTGGCTGATAAACATTCACCCTCTTGAGATCACATCTGGAAAAGAAATGACCTTACATTTTATAGTTGTCGTAGCCTGCATTTTTGGAAAGCTACGTGAATAATGCCACACAGTAGAGCCACAGTGCAGCTACAGCACATTGTCTTAGAGCATATTGTCCCTTAGCTAATTGATATAATAATCCAAGGATAGAACCATGGAGTAATTCTCTTATAATTGGAAAAGTACAATTTTCTCTAAAGGCGGAAGGGTTGCCTCTGGCAAACATTAATAGCTAATCTTTCCACAAGCAGGCTTCAAGACCTTAAAAGACTTTCAGCACCAAGTTAGATGTACCAGCTAGCCTCGTTACATTTTGCATTGTGCGTTGCCCTTTTGCCTCTCTGCCCGTGTCTTGTGAGTTTTGTTATGTTCTTGTTTTATTCACAGTAGCATCTTTGAATATATACAGATGCTTAGGTAAAACTTTTGAGAACACTGGGAGAGATCCTGTTTCTCTCTCCTTCAGAATTTTGCAGTCACTTTCAAAAGCCATAGTTGTAATGCAAAGCTTAGCCGCTTCCCCAACTTCTAAATCATGGCTTTCTCCTTTTAATTATGTTTCTTTGGGGGGGAAAATTATCCATTGAAAAAGCATTTAGAGTGCTGATACCCGAATGTGGATAAAAATAAGGGCTCAATCCAGTTTGTGGGAGAGAGTAAATTAAAGTACAAGAATAAAGCCAGTGGGGCAAATGCCGTAACACACACTGATCAATAAACTTTACATCTCTAGCGAAGGCCTTTCTCTCCCTTTTCCCTAATTATTTTCCTATGACAAATAAATACCTTTTCTCACAAGGCCATGCCTTTTGGTTTGCTACCTACTTTCACATCCCTGACCCCACTTCAACGTAGAAAGTGTTTCTTTAAAGTTGCAGTGGCCTTTCCCTATGTCCATCAAAATCTGGGCTTTTATCCATAGGGCTCTTTGCTCTCTTCCTGCTTTTCTAAGGGCAGTTGACAAATGTAGGGGTAAAAAAATTCTTCCATTTCCCACCCCCAACAACATCCATAAAGAGATTTTTATCTCCTAAGTGGAGTAAAAAATGGGGACTTAACACATGCCTAAACTCGGGGTAGTCTGGATTAATTTAGGGCTTCATGGGCTCAAGCATGATCACCTGCTCTTACCCACATCTTCAACTCCGTAATCGAATCTACTATCTCATTTTTTATAGTTCTCTGTTAATAAAGATAATGATGATAATCTTTCCAAAGTGACCAGCAGGGATGGGCCTTTAGATCCCTTTGGAACTGCTTGCATCCCAGAAAATTTTGTGCCCTTACTACTAAAGTCAGGTTTACCTGCCAAAGAATAGATAACCCTCCGAAGGGGAGATTTCCTGCTTGTAGTTCACTCTGGAAATGCCTGTTCTGGGGAGACTGAGATGCCTAAGGGTGAAGTTCTGGTCCACTTTGACTATTATGGATGATATATACCAAGAATGTAACAATCAAAGATCACTCAGAAAATAGGGAGGCCTGAGTCAGAAATGGCAACTCCTACTACTTGCATTTCTGGCCTGGGCAAACCACTGACCCATTTTTCTCTTTGGTTTTCAAAACCCAGTGTCTCCTAGTTCTCTTCTTAATGCTAATTTCATCTGGTCTCATAACAGATTCCTTTTCCCATAACTGTCCATGTTCCACCTTACAACTGTCTCTTCTTTCATTATATCTTCAGCAGAAACAGCCATCCCTATGACTACAAACACCCCATACTTTTTTCCAAGTTTCTTCTAATTGTCTAGTTGTCCTCTGTTTCCTACCACTCATGGATATCCAGCTTGTCAATCTATTAATATCTAAACTTCACCATGCCCCAATCTTGAATTCAGTATACAGTCATTCTCTCCCATTTGTTCTTCTATACCTTTGTAGGAAATGTGCTTATTTATAAAAATATTTGTCCCCAGCGGACTCTTCTTATGGTAGCCACTATTATTTTATAGACTTTCCTAATACGTAGCTTACAACTGATAACTTTTGTCTTAACCCATAGCTTTCTCATGCCTCGCCTCAGTTATTGCTCTAGCTCTGCTTAGCCTGCCTGCCTCCCCTTCCCAGTTGTAATAGCCACCATTACTAGAGCAGTCATTCTGAAATACAAATCTTCTGTTAAATCTGCTTAAAATCCTCTGGTGACTTTATTGCTTATGAAATTGCACACTCACATGTCTATAGGGGTCTGGGGGAGTATTAAAGTATGTAAGGCTTTTGGTGGAATAGCTTAGGAAGGGGTGAATCTACGTTAAATGGAGGAGCTAAAGCTATTCTAATTCAAATATTTTTTAAAAAAGAAAAATTCATGTGTTAGCCAAACAAAAGTGACAAAACTACCAGTGTCCAGTGTGAGTTCATGGGGTTAATTCTGCGTCCTCCAAGCTCCTTTGACTTCTGGCTCTGCTGCATTTTCACCTTTTCAACTCGTTCTCCCACCCTCTAACACCATTTTGCACATCATCAGCAATCACTCCATGTTCAAACATTCCCCAATAAGAACTCACTATTTCCTGAGCGTTCCTGCTTTCTTGGCATCAGTGCATTCAGTCACGTAACATTCTCTGCCTAAAATACCTCCTTCCTTTGCTCATTCCAAACCTGGTAAACTCCTATTCACCTCTACAATCTAACACATTTACTTCCTCAAAGAAGCCCTCCCTCCCTAATTCACTATTGTAGGACAGACTGTGTTTCTCAGCCCTTTGCAATGCTAAAGGTTTATTGCACTTATTACAATGGTTAACAACATATGTAACTTTGTATTCCTTCTAAAGGCAAGAAAGTGTATCTTCTTAATCTTACATTCAGTGAGTGCCTAGTACATATCTTTTTTTCTTTTTCTTTCTTTCTTTCTTTTTTTTTTCTTTTTTTGAGACAGTGTTGCTTTGTCCCCCAGGCTTGAGTGCAGTCGTGATTTCTGGGCTCACTGCAACCTCCACCTCCTGAGTTCAAGCACTTCTGCCTCAGCCTCCCTAGTAGCTGGGATTGCAAGCATGCTCCACCATGCCCAGCTCTGACCTCAAGTGATCTGCCCACCTCGGCTTCCCAAAATGCTAGAATTACAGGCGTGAGCCACCTGGTACATGTCTTGATACATAGCAGTTACAAAATAAGTGTATACCAAATGAGAGAATGAATGAAAGGCGATTTCAAACAAAAAAATGATAGGCTCTCTTCCCTGTCTGGAATGAAACTGAGTAATGTATAAGGTAGGGATACAACCAC